TCTTTTCGTTTTAATGGAAGACTATGCTATGTTTGAAGGTGCATTTTTTGTTTTTGTTTTTGTTATTGTTTTTGTTTTTTTTGTTTTTGCTTGTTTGTTTGTTTGTTTTTTTATTTATTTATTTTATTATTATTTTTTGCATCAATGAAAGTTACACAATAATCAAGTATACTGCTTACACAATCTTGACATCTTACTTGCTTGTTTGAAGCATAAACCTCATTGGCTTTTACAGGTATGAGTTGTTCATGGATGCTTTCAACCACATATCGAACAATATCGACAAAATATACAAGCAGCTTACGAAGAGCAACACGCATCCTTTGGGTGGAACTGCTTATTTAAACTTGGAAAATGAAGATGATCCATTTCTACATGGCATCAAGTATACTGCTATGCCGCCAACAAAGCGCTTCCGTGATATGGAGCAACTATCTGGTGGGGAGAAAACAGTTGCAGCACTTGCATTACTCTTTTCCATCCATAGGTTTGTCTTCCTCAAAATTTACAAACGCATGTTTTGCACTTGCGCTTAAGAGTCTTCCTTTGCCTTTGATCAAAACATAGTTCAGTTACATTTATTTCTTATTTCAGACGTTTTTAATTCCATCCTCCGACTACACTCTAGTTTTGCTGCTGTCTGCATGATTTAGTTCCTCTTAAATAACTTGGATTACTTCCTTGAATGGATGGTTTCAGTTACAGGCCTTCACCGTTTTTCATTCTGGACGAAGTTGATGCTGCTTTGGATAACTTAAATGTCGCCAAGGTTGCTGGGTTTATACGTTCCAAATCATGCGAAGGCGCCAGCCGTAACCAGGATGCGGATGGAAGCACTGGTTTCCAGAGCATAGTGATATCGCTAAAAGATAGCTTCTATGACAAGGCTGAAGCCTTGGTTGGGGTTTACAGGGATTCTGAAAGAAGGTGAGTTTCGTCATCATCGTGTATAAGATGAAAAACACACCCCTTTTGCATTGACAACAGATTGCATAAAATAGGCGATGCATATTATTTTGTAAACCTCAATTTCTCCTCCTATGATTTATGTAACGATACAAGTATT